ATAAACTTAATAAAACATCAGTAAAGTTTTGGTCATCATTCAGATGAGGTCCGCTACACTTATGAAAGTTACAAAAGTTATTTAGTCAAGATTAGTGTGCGATCTTTTGTCTTTTGTTATTTGATTAGCATTAAAGTGCAGACAGCAGCGCTAGGATGATGCAACAGACACAGCTCAGTGCCTTCACGCAGTTAATTAATAAACCATCGGTTTGTTATATCGGCCTTTTGCCTTATATAGCCGATATGCCGATGGTTGTAAATTGAGTAAAACTCGGGATACATTGGTGCATCCCTATTAATTACACAATATTATTTATCACACAATACTTACAATGAGGAACTACCACTTCTGTTAGAGGCAAGAAGGCCAATACCAAAAATAAGTAACCAATATTAGCCTATCACAATATTTTATGCATGAAACTGATACCAAAATCCATGACAAAATCCATCCTTGTATGACCTCCAAAAGACCACCAAGATCTGTTGACAAAAAAGTCTTCTAAACAAACTACATTAACAAAGCTGTTTTAAACTAGTCCAGTATGTCCATGAAAACACAAGAAATTAAAATCCAATACATGGTACAAAACAATGTGTGCTGGAAGAAGGAATATGATGAAATGCAGAGGAAACAGCCTCCATTCACGTTTAATTTCACACAGCATCCTAATGACATTAAAGGAAGGTAAAATTTGGTAAAACCTGAGGGACAATGCCTTCACTAAAAAACAACCTGCTGTTCGCATCCACTATGGCACAGATTGCCAAAACTCAACTCATATCAACATAAAGCTGAAGTAAGTCACAAAACTGTCAAACTTAATCACACTCCCAACATTTTGCTCAAAGCTAAATGCTCAAGCAAGGCGATTCGGTGATCTTACCCTCTCATCTGGGTCAGTGTGTCAGTCAGCCTCGAATCGAAGTCAGTGACACACTCTTACTGACCTCATTACCACCCCTCCCACGCTTATAAAAAAAAAACACTATTAAAGACAACATGCTTAGCATGCTGTTAATGAACATGTTAACACATGTTTTGAGGGGTTGAGGTGAAGTGTGGGGGGAGCTTGCCTTTATTACAACATTTTTCTTCTGCAGCTGGGGATAAATGAAGGTCAATTACTGATGGTTTGTGGTGCTTTCACAACAGGATCCATGAATCCTGGGGGGTTTATGAGACCGGAGGATAGTTTTGTTCTCCGTGGGGACTAACCTGCAGGAAACCATGTCAAAGTTATCTATGGTTCTCAGTGGACAAAAGAAAGCAGTATGAAAAGGTTTCTTGAGGACAAATGTTATATCATATACCTGGATGTATGAAAACTTTCCTAGGCTCAATCACACAGGAGTCTTAAGACTTTAAACACTTGAATCGTGTTTTGCTAGGCTGCACTGCCTGGTCTAACAGAGCTAAATCTGCTGTGCAGCACACTGTGGCCTAAAACTCTTGTTCAGGCTGCTTGATGACGGTTTCATGCATCAGCAAATCTCAATTAGACTGCTAGGATGCTCTGGCACCATTCGGAGACTACTAAAAGCGATAGTGCCTAAACAACACAATCACTCTGGACTTAAAGCCCACCACTTGGAAGTAGTACACTACAATAGATGACCAGTAACAATATATATACAGAGCCAAATTCAGCCACTAAATCCAGCTCTGCGCTTTGGCATACTACTAGTGCCCGCGCCTAATAGTTTGCAAAGCCATCTGCCATGGCTGTATGAAACTTAAACAGTGAATAGATTTCCAGTTTTTATTCCCCAAAACATCTGTCCTGAACATGAGAACGCAAAAAATAAACATAAATATGTCAGTTCTGCTTTGAATAACACAATATAAATGGCAACTTGGAAGGTAGCAGCTTTCAGTGTTTTACAAACAGACCGAGAGGCCAGACAAAATGTAACAGTGAAATATGGCACTGCAGGCTGGTTCGGTCATCTAACCTGACCCTTTGTCCTGTGCTATATTAGCAATCTTTGCCGTTTATAATAACAGACATAAACACAGCACGCACACACACCCACATCTTTTATTGAGCTTACAGAACTTGGCCTAGGGAGAGAAGCAGTGTCAGTGGGAGCGTATCTGCTTAATGGACAGCATCCTCTTTCCTCTTTACCTCCAAACACCAGCTTGAGGCCTCAGGGTGGCCACGAAACAAGAAAGTGGATCACAGACAGTGACAAGCCACATGCAGAGACAGACAAAAAGGATTTCAATTTTGTGTGTGTATGTGCATCACTTTGAAAGAAAATGAATTACTCCATGGCAGAACAAAATAAAGGCCCTGTAAACAAAACTTAGGCTACATTACTACAGGTATTTTTTTTTTAAAACAAGGCAGAGGTAAATATATCCTTGTATCTACATATACATTATGAAAACAGTCCATCAACAGAGTTTCCATTTTTCGCACTGCGAAATTTTGATTGGCTGAGTATTTTTACACCCAAATTTGTATAATGTGCCCCTAAATATAGTTTAAGTAGAATCCACCACAATGCATATGCTAACTATATGTTGTTTTGTTATTATGAGACAGCTACATATACCAAACTGCTTCTAATTACAAACTCTGAGTACCGGAGTACCATGTTGGGAGCTCTAATTACATGGTATTTGAAATGTACATGCATTAATGTCTTTACATCGAAACTCAAGCAAACACTTGCACATCAGTGACAGCTGGAGAAAAACCTGGTTATATAACACAAAAATATGAGATTGTCTCATAACAACAATAGTCAATAGTTCCACAAGTACAACTACAACCTGAAAATAGTAAGATAACTGTGTTTCAGTTTAATATGAAAGGCTCCAGGCCTGCTGATACATGTGCTGTGCCCTTCACCACAGCAAAAAGTCACCAAACTCGTAATGTGGCTTAACAAAGCATTAAATCAGAAACAACTTTAATCTCTATGGTGTTAGATCCCAATAGCTTTATTCCCTAAAAGGTTCATTTCTTATTACTTTGAGCCTGACTACAGCTGTACTACTCTTGCAATGATGTGACACTTACCACAAAAGTGGTTCAACTAGGTACCACTTAAAAATATTTTATTTTGTGTGCAAGAAAGTGTTTCTAAATGTTACAGATAATTGGTGTGACTGATATTTTTATTAACTTATCAAGTCTGTTATTTGTTTTTCGATACTGAGTCCAACAATAATGAGCATATGTACAAATAATAATAAAACTTAATTATTAGAATAGACCAAAATATAAATATATATTATAAATAAATAATATATTATTTTATATATATAAAATACTCATAACGCATGTTATTTGTTAGTATAACGATTATTTAGTATTACTGTGTCAAAGAGCAAAAGAAAATATTAAAATCAATATTGAATATTATTTTTCAGACACTTAAACATAAAAAATAATTTGCGTCATATATGTCATACAAAAAGCAATATCAGTCCATCTCTACTGAATGCAGGAGCAAATTACAGTACATTGGGTGAAACATTAATGCCCATTTTGGGCCATTATAGCGTTTTTAAAATTAAACAACTCATTATAATAGCCAGAACTCAAAGGACATCCAACACTGACCACTCAATGTAAAAGACATGCAGTGCCCATTAACAATGACCAATAACATTACCACAAACTAGCATGACTGCAAGCACAAACCTGGTAATATTTCTGGATATAACACCTAAATGCCAGGTGGCACGTAGATCTCCCTAAAAAATGCATATGACTCGGTTTATTCATCACAATCCTTTGCAGATATCATCAGTGCTGACAGCAATAAATGTGGCTATGCAAAATCGCTCCTGTCTTGTAAACTAGTTGTGAATGGCATCTAACGTTACCTGCATGAATGCTGAAAGTACAGTTCTCTCACACACGCCACTCTCATTCCTCCTGATTCAGACAACATGCCGTTTTTGAAGAGTTACGACTGGATGTAACTGTCATATATGTTCGACAGCAACACTGCACCACAACAACCTAAAATGCAGTGACAACTATGACGCTCATCTGACATTAGACACAAAATGCAAAAGACGCAGCTCTAGTTTCAGTTGCACATTCGCCCGTGTGTCATTATAAAAGTGATCAAACCGTGACACTTACTTGCCAATGACCTCGCACAGCTCGTAAACATCTTCAAAGAGCACGTCGTCGTCGGCCATGGTCCAACAAGACCGGGGAATTTACACTCCCCCCAAAAAATCCGTCCAAATGGTAAATATATCAGAGGATTACAGCGTAGATACTTCAGAGTACCAGGAATGTGCGGCGAAAAGAAACACTGACAGCCGACGTTACCGCTCTCCAAATTCCGACAAACAAGAAATTATTGATTCCTGTCGGTTTTAATGAAAGGAAAAACATCCGTTGGTGGTTCGGTTGAAGCGGGCGGGCGGGCAGTAGTGAGCGCTCGGTCCGTTTGACTCACTCTGCCCCACCTTCTCCTCCCTCTCTCCCGGCCCCCTTAATCCCGCCGCCACTCGAGGTTGAGGTAGCTAAAAACAACTCCAAAATAATCGCTGTTGAAGTCACGGAACCAGGTGGGTTAAATCGACTAAACGCTAAACTAACTAATTCGATTCTGTCGAGCCCAAAAAAAGAATTACACGCCGTTTCTGGGATAAAAATGTAGGCTGTTATTAAAGTGCGCAGTTCAGTTGATTCTACTCATTCTACCCACGCGCAGGGCTTCGCTGAGACGCGCGAGGCTTTTCCCTTGCTCGCCGTTGCTCTAGTTCCCCCTCACAACTCCAGCGCTGCTGCTCCCAGCTTCCAGAAAACCCAAACTCCTCCCACTCAAGGTTATGAAACTGGATTGCTTTACGCCATAATGGCTCCGGCAGGACTTTTGTATTCCGGAATTCCTGCATAACCCAGCACTACGGCTTGAGCCAAAATGACGACCAGGCGTCTCAGAATTTGTCTGCCAAACTGACCGTTTCTTAATACGGTGTTAGTAAGGTGCTAGATGCGAAGCGTTAATCAAATTAAACGGCTTTTGGAAACCTTGTATTTACTAGCTATACGTCAATACAGAAAATGTGCACTATATGAATGTAATATAATAAAAGTATCTTAAAAAGTGATTGGAAGAGTGAAATTTTATTTTTATCTGAATTTTTTCCATTCGAATTCAAAGTAGCCTACTTTACTGGCATGATTACGTTCAATATTGCTAAACCGTAGATGTACATAATTAAAACACTCAGGAATAATAATATTTAGATATAATTATTGGAACCATAATTCAAATCTAATCATTTATTTAGTTAGTTAGTTCGTGTCATTTACATTTTTAATAATGGCCAAATAAAATAAAATGAATGGTTCTAATACATAGGTAAATAAATATGACATACATTTAAATGATATTGGGATACCAAGGTGTAGGGTGACGTGTGTAGTCCAATATATGGAAGCTGACTTAAGGTTGGCAATGAAGGAAAATTGAAATGCATTACTCTTGGTTTTGTCTGCACTTTTTACATTAGTGCCTTTGAATTACTGCATTGATTTCTGTAGCTGATGATTGGTGGGATACACTTGAGCTAATTGGATTTTGTACATTGAGTCCATTCATTCAGTCTAGAAATCATTCAGTCACTTCTCATTGTAAATTTATAGTCTGAGTCCTTAAAAAACAGTTGAATCATAGCCTCAATTGATGTTGGCATAAAGGCAGCTGACTCAGCTGGTGATTTTCAAAGATTAAACTACTAATTCACACACAGACATACACACACACACAATGACCACATGACTGCATGTATCTAAAATGCTAAATAGTATACTGATTTACTAAATGTCAAACTGTTACTTTTTTACTAGTACATTGAGTTTGAAATTATTATACATCAGTTTGACAACACTGAAAAGGCAGCTGATTTTCAAACATTCAGGCACTGAGTGTGATGGACAGAGGACATTTGGTATCCTCAGGTGCATTTGATATGCTTTCCCTGGCCAATGGCAGCAGGTGAATGGCAGAAAGAGTGGCATTGTGTGTGTGCCAGAGGCTGGTTTTGTCTGAGCTCCTGGGTTACTTTGCACCACAGGGCATGCCAATATCTGCATTCTCATGTGTCTTCATACACTCAGATCAAGACCTGTCTCCTCTTGTTCTATTTTCAATCACTGTTTTGTTATGCTTGTGTAAATCTCATAAAACACAAACATAGTGTCAACTAGTTTAGCTTCAGGAGTCAGGACCCAAACTTTGCATTCACTGCGAAAAAATAAAATAAAAAATTGGAGAAATTTAGGATTACATCACTTGCTCACCAATGAATCCTCTGCAGTTGCTTCCAGCTAAAATATGAGTCCTCTATCTGTAATATTACTTCCATGAAGTTGCCTGTCTGAATCAGGAAAGAAATATACATACATCAAGTACCATTTATAAGTGAAAACAATCCAAAACTGTTCTAAACAAATATGTCAGTGGATTTTGATGAGAGGACAGCAGGGTTTAGACTTTTTTCCTTGAGGAAACGTTATTATGAATTATGGACTCATATTTTAGCCAGAAGTTAAAACGTCTTAATGATAGATTTGTTTCTTACAAACAGCTATTCAATTCACAAAACATGAATTGATGAACTGGAGTCTTGTGGATTATTGTGATGTTTTATCAGCTGTTTAAACTCTCATTCTGATGGCACTTGTTCACTGCAGAGGATTTGTGAGCAAGTAATAAAGCTAAATTTCTCCAAATTTGTTCTGATGGTGTAACAAACTCATCTACATTTTGGATGGCCTGAGGGTGATTACATTTTCTGAACTGTTCCTTTAACTGAACTCAGTCAAGGTCTATAGAATTAGATGTGTCAGAGTAACTCAAATGTCTTTCATTTCACTTGTGGTTAGCAATAACACACATTAGCATGCTAAAGCATTTTAACTATATGCACATGTGTAGTGTTTGCATATAGAGTACATGAGAAAGAAGCAGGCAAATCCAACTGATAAGTCTTATTTTGCTATCTTAACGATGCACAATTATATGGTTCTTTGGATTTAACACTATTTTTTCTAATGTTTGAGATTTACATGATCCTCTTAAGCCTAAAGACTGCCCGTACCTTATAATTCAACTGTCTCTCTGTTTTTGTCTCTCTGTGTTTCTCTGTTATTTCTCTCTGACAGCTGAACAGATTCATTCTAGACAGTTATCACTTGAAACCACAGTGAATGATCAGTAATTTGTGATGAAAGCCATTTTATGCCATGCAAAGATGTCAATAGAAAGACTGCCTTTTTGCAGCAGTTAACTTAATAATTACTTTGACATGACAATTGGCAGTGAAAAACACAAACTCAACTACGAGTCTTCTGTTCGGCACATTTGAGGCTAATTGTATTGTTGTAATTGGGAACACACAGGGAACACTGAATTTAATTATATTATAGCAGTCAATGGCAAACACAACTTAACAAGTCTTTGCCAGTTATTCCGGCGGATGTTATCAAAGAAACAAAATCAATGCTAGTTAGCATTTTTCAGTTAGCAGCCACCGGATGCTGATGGAATTATATCTGGTCTTTCTCAGCACTGAGCTGTTTTACAACATCGAGAGTCACATAGAGAGTATTTGTATGTACTGAATGGCAATGTATGTTTAAAAATATATACAGTATATGATATTTTTAAAGGGGTCATATGATGTTGCTAAAAAGAACACTGAAACACGTTGCGTTGTGATTGGCCGAATACCTCAAGCGTGTGATGGAAATGTTACGCCCCTACCATACTGTAATGCCCTGTCCGGCCAGAGCAATGAGACAAAAACATTAAAAACCATTATAAACGAGGCATTTGTTCCATCCAGTGGGGACATAATTATGGATTATAATGACTTATACTGTCTTTTTACGCGTTGCATCGCGCCACGTAAACATAAAACCATGTCTGCATTTGTGATCGGAGAAATGACAAACAACAAGCACTACTCTACACTGCTCAAAACTC